TGACATTCAGAGACAAAGGGAAGGGGGGGGGGGGTAATCAGGAGAAACGGAGAGAAGCAGGGAGATATGGCAGCCGTTCAGCTACAAAGAGTGGTGTTTGGCTCGGAGCAGCACGCCTCCCTGTGCTCTCTGTAACCCGGTCGGAGCATGATCTGATTTGACAAGTGCAGCGCTGTCATCTTCAGTTTGTCCAATTTGAAATTCTAATTAATGAACTCGGAGCCACTTTGTGGGTTTTTTTTTTCTTTCTTGTTGTTGTTGTTTGTTCTCCGTCTCGGTCTCGGGCCACTCCGTCTCCTGTTTGTCTTCTCCRTAACCTTCCTCCTCCACTCCTTCCTCCAGCCTTCTTTCATCTGGGTGGTGTTGCTGCACTGCCACTCGCTGTGCGCTCACACCACACCGGATGATATCAGAGGCTCCGGGGCCCTAATTAGAATCAAACTGTGTTGCATTTTGTGTCTTCCTGTTTGTTTCTCATGTCTTCCTCTTAGAATCCTAATAATGTGAGGAGAAACGGCTGCAGATCGCTAATGCTGGAGGGAAGGTGAGTGGTCCGGTTTCTTTCAGAACATTTCTTGTTTTCATCAAAAGAAAGCTCATGAATCTCTTCTACCTTCACCTCTTCTCAAAGTTGTGCATGTCTACCTAAGGAAAGGTTTTCAAATTGACCTGAGAGACCAAACACAATAAAACATCATACATATTTTATTTATTTATAACCTTTATTTAACCAGGAAGTCCCAGTGAGATTAAAAACCTCTTTTTCAAGAATAAAGTTAATAATATATGAATGTGTACCAATGGCAGAGCCTTCTGGTGGCCAGAGCAGGCCATTSTACCCTTGAGTACAACTCATAGTGATGTGTCAATGCCTTACAGTTTSTAATGAACCTCAAAGAGGCATGATAAACAATCATTTGAAGACATTTAGCAGATGTGTTCATATACTAAATATATCCATAAACCAACAGCGATTAAAAAAAAAGAGTAGCCGTCACTAGTTGCTTTTTCACATTAAAAGAAAAGCACAACTTATTTCTAAAATAAAAGCCTAGCTTTAGTCTGAGCCTCTTCAGTTTCTCCACATGTAACAGGTTTGGTGTACAAACAGACACACACAGGTTCCACTCAACAACAGTCAGACGTCAGGCGGGAAATCGCACGAGACCTCTCGAGATCAAACCTGAGTTCAGGGTAAAGAAACATGGCCGACGAGGAAGAAGCGATAAGTTTGTGGACATTTTTAACAGAGACCGATCAAACCGTCGATCCTTCCTTTTCTCACTAAACACAGAGAACATGACTGTATTCTTGAGTTATCTGTCTGTCCAAATATGGAGGAGGAMCAGTGTCTCCTTGTTGCTTCAGGTTGGTCCACAGCTCATTGTTTGTAGGATAGAGCTAGCATTAGCAACCCTGAAGGGCTCCTTTTTACCATGATGCTAACAGTGACTCATGAAGTCCAAAAAGTGCATGTTTCCTGTAGTTGTTTCAGATCGAACAGGTCTGTATTCATACTAGAAGCAAACAGCACCAGAGTTTGTTTGGAAGCGGACAAAAAGTGGGTCTAGGTCCGGTTAGATCCACCAGGGTTCACATGAGTGCAGCATAAAAGGTCTGGACCAAGGGGGGAAACAAACTCTGGACCAAATGTGCTTTTTCTGAGTTCCTGTCTCTTTCAGCACGATTCCTCTTCATGAACACAAACTTACCTGCCTGCCTACTCTCCACCACTTTCCCGGTTTTAGCTCMTGGACCTCCGTTTTCATCCTCTGGACCTGGAACAGAAACAAAAATTTGACTTTTTTCTGATGATTTTATAAATACTAGAGGTTCTCAAACCATGGGCCGCGGCCCAATTGCGCCACCTTGAGGGCCTCAAAAGAACAACAGTTTTTAACTTTGGGCTGCAGAGGGCCGTGGGACCGCATTGATTTTGCTATTTTAAATGAAAAGTAGAAGCAAAAATGAAAGTAACTCATCAAAAAACACCAAAGTTTGTCGCTAATATGAAGAGCAACTTCTGGTTTTACCATGCAATATTTAAAAAGTTCAAAACATTATCAAATACAGTTGCAGATACAACTATATTTTAATTTGCATTTTAAATAAATTTTTGTAGTTTATTTTTAAACATTTTGAACGTATTTTAAAGAAAACTTGAAACTTGTCAAAAAGCTGTTGTTACTGTTATTGTTTGTCACTAATATGAAGAGCAGCTTCTGGTTGCAAACGTTTAAAAAGGCTATATTTTTCATTTGTACTTATCAAATTTATTTTTTACAGTTTTTTATTTGAAACATTTGTTCAAATAATTGTTATGGGCAGGTTGCAATATAAAAATGTTTGTCATAATCATGTCTTGTGATTATTTGACAGGAGTTTTACTTTTAAACTGTAAGTGTATTTACTTTAGTCATGTTAGTTATGATGTAAATACAATAAAAACTAAACCAAGATTTAGATTAGAATAATTTTCATTTTGATCCGGACATTGATAATGTCTGACACAGTGTCTGAAAGTGAAATATGAACATTGTACCTTTCCTCACCAGCTGGTGGGGCTGTCTGCCCACAAACCATTCACCTTTAAACTGCTCTGCTTCACACACACAAACAAAAACACAGAAATGTATGTATGTATATATATATATA